TTTTTTTAATTTATCGGGTCGGGTCGGGTTGAATTATGTTGAGTTTAAGTTCATAACCCAAAACTCCATCCAACTCTGCTAAAAATTGATTTCTCACCTCAATCCAATAAAATTGAACTTAAAAATCAACCCAAACTGAATCGGATTGGTCGGGTTGAACGATTTGATTTGGTTTAATTTGATTTGTGTTGGATTTTGTCCCATCCTACGTAATAGAATAGAATAGAAAAATAGAAAAGGAAAGAGGTTGCCGTATATTAATCTTCATCTTCACCTCTTCGGAGTCTGAGGGGAGAGTAGAAAAGTAGAGTATAGGGTTGGTTATGTCATCAAATCAAAACGATGGCTGACTACTAGGGGAATAAGATTATTGTCATTTGAGCATTTTTAATAGGCTTTTTTCAGACTTGAGATGCTCACTATTTTAAAAAATCGACCTATAAAATTATGCTTTAAATAACTCTTTAAATTAATATTTTAATTTGAAGAGTCAAACCCTCTCTCTAAATTAAATGTATTTAAAGTGTTTTAATTTTCAATAAAGAAAAATAATATAAAGAAAAACTAATAAAAATAAAAGATGGAGAAAAATAATAAATATTTTTTCAAAGTAGTAAAATGAAGTGTTGAATATAAGAATAATACTACAATAAAGTTATTTGTAAAAAGTTGAGTTACAAAAGTTAATTTACAAAGTGTGTTGACAAAATTCAGACAGTTGATTTCAACTGATTCAAAAATCTGTTTTTAAAATGATTGGCGTAGATGATATTTTGTCAACCAACTTTGTACATATAACATAACTCATAATACTATTCATCCCCACTGTAGTTGAACACAATCTATGTGACAATTACATAAACTCAATTAAATGAATCTATCATTTAATACCATGTAATTGTCACATAAAATGGGGTTCAACCTCAATGGAGATGAATAACATTACTCTAAATATAAAGAGTTTGCTGAAATACTTCAAAATTTTAACTTTCTAAATTTATAGATACTCTTCAAATGATAGAATATATTCTTTAAAAATAAAGGGTCTCTTAAATATATGCTTAGCTCTTTTAAATAAGGGTATTGTTATGAGCTATAACGCCAATTTAGATTGTGCTAAGTCATAAATTGCATAAAAAGTGAAATTAAATGACTCATTTAATAATACTTATCATTTAAATCATATTAACACTACGTGTTTTAACTTTAACTGGGCTAAATAACATTACTCATCAAATAACTATAATCAGTAGTTCAATTTAACTTCAAATTCGGGACGTCTTGTAAACATGTTTTGATGCAATAGAACCGAAGGCAGGTATGATTGAAAGAGTAACAAATGCAGAATGCCAATAAAAAAATGCAAAGCATCACATTCATTCGTATGATTATTTTGCCACACTACTATTCTCTCGATAACTTTGGAACTTCAGAAGCCAAGAATACTTCCATTCAGGGAAAGCTCTTGATACAACAACTGAACCGACTGATATTACGCAACCATCAACAAGACCGATATAAACCATGGAAACTCGACACCAAGTCAACAACGCGATGAAAACTGTGAAGAAATTGTAGCAATAACTTCAAGCAGTTTTGTGTAATCAATATCTTGCAATATAATGCACAATTAATTGAAAAACATGAAAACTGCCCTGCACAGAACTTCCCATGTGAAAAAAATCTACAATGGGAAAGGGCTGCCACAGAATATAAGAAGCCCTCTGT